CCATGCCAGCAGCCGGTGACAAGGGAGGGAGGTGATTTATTAGCAAGGCTCAGGCTCAGCGCAGGAAGAACAGGGTTTCCCATCCCTGCATCAGCTAGGTATTCCCCAGAAGGGCTTTCCCACTTATGCCATGGCATCCTGTTTTCAGGAATCTTGGCTGACAGCCCTTGGCGGCTCTGTTCCCCATGCAGACAGCCGCTGACACAGGAGGCTTTCCTGCTGGTCCTCCCTAACCCTATTGTTTTCCCGGATAACGTCTCACATGAAGGGCCATTGGGATCTGTAGGACACACCCAAGTCGTGCGGAGGCGACCTGGAATGCCCCAGGCAGGTGTGACCCGCAGATCTGTGCCACCGAAGCCATCTGTCCTTCGCAGGAGAGGCTGCAGCACCGCGGTGGCAAACAGCCCCCGCCTGTCCTGGTGCAGCACTGGCGTCCCTCTGTCCCCACTGGGGCACCCCAGGTCACCCCTGGCAGCCCCAGCCGGCCACGGGAGCACACAGGCGTGGGGGGCTGGATGTCCAGCGGTGTCCGGCGCTGGGGCCGCAGGACGAGTGACCAGGGACGGGTGGAGGAGCTGTGCTCCCCCCATCCTGAGCCCTCTCTGCTCTGGGTTCAGGATCTCTGCTGTTCTCCCCTCCCTGACCCCTCTCTCTGCTCTGGGTTCAGGATCTCTGCTGTTCTCCCCTCCCTGACCCCTCTCTCTGCCCAGGGTTCAGGATCTCTGCTGTTTTCCCCTCCCTGAGCCCTCTCTCTGCTCAGGGTTCAGGATCTCTGCTGTTTTCCCCATCCTGAGCCCTCTCTCTGCTCTGGGTGCAGGATCTCTGCTGTTTTCCCCTCCCTGACCCCTCTCTCTGCTCAGGGTGCAGGATCCCTGGTTTTTTCTCCTCCCTGACCCCTGTCTCTTTCTCTCTGCTCCCCCAGGGTTACCTCTCTGAAGGTTTGGTGACCAAGTGGTACCGCTCCCCCCGTCTCCTCCTGTCGCCCAACAACTACACCAAAGCCATCGACATGTGGGCAGCTGGCTGCATCCTGGCAGAGATGCTCACCGGCAGGATGCTCTTTGCTGGTAGGTTTCTGTCTCCTGTTCATTCGCTTTTTTTCCTTCCTTGCTACCCAATTCCGAGGCTTTCCAGCCCAGCAGAATTCCCCCGTATGAGGAGGGGAGATGACGGCGCCCTGTTCCAGGAGGTTTGTACTCTATGCCGTGGGTTTGGATCCTCGCTGGTGTCTTTGAGCTGTTTCTGTTCTTTGAGGGAACACATTTGAATGCCACCACCCGTTTTTAGGATTTACCTGTAAGCAGGAATTGCAGCTGTAAAGGTGAAGCGCAGGAAAAGAAGACACCAAGAGCACGGCGAGGAGTTACCAGTGCAGCTCTGACGTTCTTGACAAGAAAATAGGTATTTAATAGATTCCCAGGAGCAAAGCTGTGCTGCCCGAGCTGGCACACGGAGGGACGGAGCAGCTGCCCTCTGCCTGCTGCAGGAGCTGCTCCCCTCCCTGTCCCAGGTGTGCAGCAGAATTCCTCCCGGGATGTCTCTCCATGGCCTGCCAGTGCCCTGAGTGACGAGGCTCGACGCCTTTTGTGAGCAGCAGTCTGCAGAGTTGTGTAAATAAATAATCAGGCCCCTTAATAATGCAGGAGGATGTTTCCTTCACAGATATCACCCTAACCCAGAGCTCCACAGGCTTGGCTGCAGCTGCTCTGCTGCTGCCTCCCCTCTCCTGCTTGCAGCTTCCACATTTCTTTTGTGAAAGCTAAAAAGTGAGCAGTCAGTACCGTTATGAAGAGCTCATTAAAATTGCCTCCCTTTCCTTCCTTCTTTTTGCCCTCAGTTTCACCAAAAGTTTCCAGTCCAGGGGTTTTAGCTTTGAAAATTGTGCATTTAACCTGTGTGCTCCCGGTGTTTCCTTGGGGTATATTCTAGGAGCAGGGACATCTCCAGGTGACACTGGTCCTTGTGGGTGCAGGGCATTGTCTGACCTTGCTGGGGGATGCTGCAGTCTCTGTTCCCCCGCATTTATTCCTCACAGGAAAACACGAGCTGCTTGTCGAGGTCCCTCCGTGGCTATCCCATCCCAGCACCCAAGCACTCCTGGCTTTTCAAGCCCCTCTCTCAGCCCCAGCTTTGGGTTTTTTTTTTTTCTTTTTGTGGATCTCACGGTGTAAGTAATGCTGGCTGACAGCACTGAGGTATCCGAGGTGGTGCTTTAAGCTCATTTCATGGTAAGGCACAGGCAGAGGTGGCCCCAGGATGGGATTTATCCATCCTCTACCTGGGTGAGATGCCCCAGAGCAGCCACCCCGGAGCCTCCCCAGGCTGGTTCCTGAGAGCCCAGAGCAGGTAGAGATCGGGATTTGGCACACCCAGGCTGGCACTTGCTGCGAGCATCCCTTGTTCTCTGCCTTGCAGCCCAGTGAAATCACCTCATCGCTCCCCAGGTGCTGCCAGCATGCTGGGTCAGCAGGTGGCCCTCAAAACCAGACTCAGAATATCAACTCCTTTTGGGCGGCTTTGAAAACATTTCATTGTCATGGGAGGTTCTGGCCCCCTGCCCCTTTTTTCTGGCCTCCCCCTGTGCCAGCCAGGAGCAGGGCCGGGGTGGCAGCCTGGCAGCAGGCAGGATGCCCGTGGTGTCTTTAATCTGCTGCTCTCCGGAGGAGAGAATAAATCCCAGCCCCTCAGAGCAGCTAAAACCCACAAACACCTGCACAGCAGCCTGGATTCACCATTGCTCCTCTGGGGGAGGAGGAGCTCAGCCCCAGGCAGCTGCAGCCTCCCTCCCTGCAGGACGGGGGTTCCACAGAGCGCCGGGGCAAACAGCAGCAGGGCAGGTCAGACAGAGCTGCCAACCTGCAGCAGGCGCCCTGCCCTGCATAAACGGTTCCTTGGGCGCAGTTTGGACTGAGTGCTCGGCATAAATCAGAGTAATTAATTAACTCGGTGGTCTGTCCGGGGTGCTGCAGCAGCGCAGGTCACTTAAGGTGGTTGGTTATTTGGAGTCGATGTCTCTCACTTGCTTCCATTCTCCCACGGGAATTATTGGACGTGCAGAGGGAATGGGCCCCAGCCCCTCCCCGAGCCCCTTCCCCGGGTGCTGCGGGGGTTTGGGAGCCGTTTTGGGGTTGGCAGAGCCCTGGGAGCCCACAGCGAGCCTGGCTGTCCCAAAGGTCTCATCTTGAGCAGCTTGCAGAGCTCTGGAGAGCTCCCCAGCAGCAGCAGCAGCGCGGAAAACAGGGAAGAGTGTCCGTGGCTGAGCAGCTACAGCTCCCTCCAGTGTCTTTTCCACTAAAAGCAGGAGTAGATGGGGGAAAAGGAGTAAAAAGGAGAAAAAAATCCGACCTTGCAGATCTCCATGGGGTTCCCCAGTGGGGCTGTGCCTGGGACCAACAGTTAGGAGACGGCACAGGGGCTATTCTATTTTTTTTTTTTTTTTGCTTTTTTCCTGATGGGATCAGAGCTTTCTCCCAGGGCTTGGGTGCTTCCCTGGGGCTTGGCTGGAAGCCTGGAGAAGGTTCTCTTTTCCAGGTGCAGAGCTCCTCGTTCTCTCCCTGGGTAACAACAGCACGCTGCATTTATTCTGTCTGTGGTTCATGTTTTCCTTTCCAGGAGTTAATACCTTCAGAAAAAGGTCCCTGGGAATTCCATAATAGAGGATAATGGAAGGGAACGGGGTTTCTTGAGAGCCATAATTCAAGGCTTCCAGCATTAGCAGCTTCTTTGTGTGCCTAAACACGGAGTCTTTTGGCTGCCAGGTATCTTCAGTGAGCAGTGGCTGGGGCTGCACCGAGAGGAAAGACACAAAGCCTCGCTGACTTTTATCACCCTGTAATTTTGATCGCAGCTTGGGAATTAGCCTGCCTAACAAGGTGTTCATTTCCTGGCAGATACCTTTCGTTTCCCCTGGAGTCACGCTGTGAACCTCTGAGCGACCTAAAATTAGTTTTTTTCTGTAGGGAAGTGAATTAATTCGCCCGGGATTGATATGGGAGGGGCGTCCCTCCCTTTGTCTTCTCTGCTTTCCCTGTCGCTTTATCCTCTCCCAGGGTGTTGATCTGAGTGGATGTGTGCAGAGGTGGCCAGCTGGGCTCGTGTCACCGTTGCCTTGGGGCTGTCTGGGCTCGCTGAACTCTGCCCTGACCTGCCCAATGTGTCACCAACAACAACTCTGCTCACCTGCATGGGGTGAAAGCGGCCAAACCTTGCTGGAGTGGCGAGGCCAGGGTGGGGGAAGAGTTTCCCAACGTGGATGGTTGTCCCTACCTTTGTCCAAGGGGGCTCCATGGGCGTGAGTCTGGAAAACTCCCCCGGGGAGCTCAGGGCTGTGGAGGGCAGCCCCAGGGATCTCCACAGGAACAAGGTTGCCTCAGGGCACAGGGTCTCCATCTCCTGTGAGGTGGCCTCCCCTGTGCTGGTCAGAAGTGCTGGGCCATAAGTGAAGTTGGCTCTTGTTGTCGTGGGTCTGCTCGCCATTGGAGCAGCCCAAAATTCTGACTGGGACAGCAGGGGCTTGGTAGCCCAAAAATCCCCGTTGTTTTGGCTGCCCCAGGCCACTCCCTGCCCCAATGGCTGGTGCTGCCTCTAAGGACAGAGCGTTTCTAAGCAGCCCTCCTGGCAGACAGAAAATCAATGGTGCCACCCCGTGTTCCTGCCAGGCTCCTCTCGGCACAGTGGGAGGCTGGAATCCACCATGGAGCTCTTGGTCACGCCCAGGAGATGCTGAAAAAAGGGATTAGTGCTCATTAACGAGGTGTTCTGCTTGTCTCTCCTCTCCTCTCCTCTCCTCTCCTCTCCTCTCCTCTCCTCTCCTCT